TCTGGTCTCCTCCAGGAGCTCTTCGGGGGTCATGGGGAGATCAATTTTGTCTCTTATGATCCTGGCAGCCTCCAGAGCTTTCTTGCCCATCACAGAGGACTTCACTTCCCATGTATACTGCTTATTGAACCTGTCACAGACTTCCTGGTATGCGACAGTGTACAACCTCTCTGTATCTGAAAGAGATACAAAGTACAAATAAAAACATGCAGTAATACAGTGTAAATTAATTGGACGGACAAAAATGATAAATAACGTCTAATACAGAAACTGATTAATTAAGACTGCTTACGAGTGGGTGTCAACTGCAAATGAGGTGTAGGCTATAAAATGTTATAGATGTATAACATATACAATTTAAAATTCGCTGATCTTTGAAATGATCAGAATCACTCAATGAATACAGTGTCTTTCTTAATTTACTGCATGCAAACAGAAGCACAAGCGCTGAGTTGATTTAAAATCTCGTTTATTTTAACATGATTCTCACCCACCTAATAATAACCCGTCCATATCGAAAAGTACGTGTGTTACTGGTTTATACGACATTTTAAAGGATACTTTTTCTTTACTGTGTGACTACACGGAACTTCATTGACAGTGACAGCAGCGACGCGAAAACTGCTGGACAATCATAATCACACTGAAACCAAAGATCAACAGCTTCAGGTTCTGGGATACTTCAGTTCATATCTTGCTTGATATATTTGAATGTATAATGTACATGCTTTCGTAAAACCATTTATGATTACTTAGCCCGCTTCTTATCTGCGATGAACTTTTAAGTAAAAACTCAGGACAACTTTTAACTCGCCATTCTTGTTGCAAAGGATTAGGGGAAATGCAGTTTTTCAACTCATCGCACTGACGCTCTTAAACTGGTGGTATACACAGTAACACAGTCAAACCAAAATGTATGCAGACACCTTCAACATTTCTCCCATTGTCACAGTTTATCCGCTATTGTTTAAAAAATGGTAATAAAATATGACAAGAACTCAGAGTTAAACTGTGTCAGAACAAATTCATCTTGATAATGTCAGATAACTTTGATAGAAAGGTATGTATAGCTGTCAGCTGTTAAATTTAAGTACACAATTAGATAATACCAATTTAGGTCAACCAATTACCAAGCAATGCTTAATTTTGTTCAGTCTTTGGTGTAAAAAGGTCGCAATGAACACTTTGAGCGGTTCTGCAACGTCACATAACTGCCAAATTCAAACTGTGCTTTTGAGCTTTAGCTGGCGCTGAGCCAGAGAGAAGTGCACTGCC